GTATTTCAACGTATTTTAGGGCTGAAGCGCTGAGTATTTCAAGATGTGTTAGGGAGAACCCTAAGTGTAGCACTCTCTCTTTCGAGTAGTTTCTACCCCCCACCAAGAAGATGCGAAATCGGGACAACGCGCCCGCTGGAAGCGGATCCAGCCGCCTGCTGGATCCATCGCCTTTGTCTCCATTCCGTTTCTCCTCCATGTTCTGCAGTATCCACTAAGTCCTCACACCCAGGCGAGGGGGGTTGGACTAACTCTGACCCCCACTCAGCAACACTGATCAGGGGAGCCCCAAATCCCGCTGCTCTCAAGGGGCTCAGGCCCCTCTGAGGCATGCCTGCCTCTGCCCCCCAGAGGCACCGTGGCTGTGCTGAGCCCGGTGCTGCTGCCAGGAGGATGCGCGTTCTTTGCAGCCTCCGGCTCGGGCGGGCATCCGCAGGGATGCGGGATGCGGATGCCCTGCAAGGGAAGCCGTGCCTGCGCTGCCCGGGGGCACGTCCCTGCGGCACCCGCACTAGCGCAGGCTTGCTTGGTTCACCTGTGGACCGCAGTGTCCCCGGAATCCAAAGCGGCGGCTGCTTTTGTCGCTTTGGTGTTTATGTGCCTGTCCACTCTGGTGGCATGCGACGAGAGAAATGCGCTAGCGGGAAAAATGAAACTGGCCCCCCGCTTTGGTCATGAAGGACAGACCCCGAGCTTGTGCTTCACAGTTCGATTTTGAGCTGTGTGGTAGGTATGCTCCTGCGCATGAGGATGCCCATGCACACAGGCGCGTGGGCCTGCGCACAGAGGGTCCCTCTGCAGTTGGCACCGTTTGTCTCGCTGCCAGCTTCTGCTTGCGGAGTGTGGTTTTGTGCCAGCCGGCCGGCCGGCCGTCTCCTGCTGACGGTGTGCGTGCTCCTCGTTCCTGCCTCGCTTCCAGCTTTAATAGCCGAGTGGGAGGTCTCTGATTTGTGGGCCATCTTGATACGTGTGCACACTAACATGCGCACACACGTGCCTGGTGGAAGAGTGCAGCCCCCATGCTGAGCCGCAGCCCCCAGCCAACGGGCCTCTGTTGACAGAAAATCCTTTTGTGTGCCGCTCCTCCAAACTGGGATTAACTGTGGCTTGGCAGCTGGCGGCCAGTGCCCGGCCGGACAGCCAGCCAGCCAACCAGCTCCTGTGCCGCCTGCGTGCCCCCACCCCGCGTGGCGGCGTCCTGCTGCCAGAGGCTTTTGTCTCCCGCCCGCATTTTCCTTCTGTGCTGGCAGCGAGAGATCGGCATGCAGTTCCGAGGGTGGGCTTTGCCAGGGCTCTTCCTCCTCCTGTGACGTTTTCGGTTCCATCTTTGTTACCAGCCCTGCGTAACCCCCTTTTAGTGCCGTCGGTGGCTGTAAGCTGCCCCGCAGGCGTGGCCCGCTTGCTTCTCGGAGAATTTAGAACTCCGGGTCGCGGCCGGGGACTTGGACTGTTTTTCAAGCCAGTGGCCCTGTGGTGGGCCGGTGCCGGCCTCTCCCCTCCTTCCCCCCTTGAAATAGCTCCAGCTGCGGGGTCCGTCCCATGAGCACTATTTTAGCAGCAGCGAAGGGCCACAGAGCATCTCTGCAGGGCTCCTTCTGGCTGAAGACGGTTCCTCGCTGCTGACCTAGCACAGAGGGGAAGGCGCCGAGGTAGGCGCCTTCGCCCTGGAAGCCCATTGCGGGGCCTCCCATGTGGCCGCGGGGCCTGGCCCGGCCAGCGCATTGCAGTGCTGCTGCCCTCACGTGGGGAAGGCAGGGGGAAGGGGAGCTTTCCTTGCTATTTGTCTCCGAGAAATGCCCCCTGCCCCGAATTCTGATCGTTCCGTCTGTCCGACAGTGCAAGTTGGAACTGGTGGTCGGAAGTCCGGCGTCATGCATGGACCTCGAGCTCTATACTCCGGACGACAAGTTTCTGATGAAGCTGGACAGTGATGAGTCCCTGCTGGGGTCGTACCCCATTGATGACGGGTGCCGGATCCATGTGAGTGTTGAGCTGGCTGTGCCGCTGGCGCCAGGCGGCTGAGGCTCTCCCGTTGGTGGCAGGCAGTGCGGGGACGGGGGCGTGTCGGAGCCCTTTGAAGCAGCTTTGCTCAAGCGATCCTTTTGAAGAGTGTTCACTCCACCGGATGTGCTCCAAAGCACGGGCCATCGATGGGGCAGGATCACTACTGCCGTCTCTCGTTCCCCCATGTCTGTTTTACAGCTCCATCCACAGAAGTGGCATTTGACCAAGAATGGATGGACAGGCCCCTGCCCCAGGGGTCTTGCAGTCTAGAAATAGATTCATGAGGGGGAAGAGTGACGGGACAGACAGGAAGAAGCAGCATTCACTTCTTCTGAGGCTAAGGGTTTGACCTCTTTGCTTATGCCAGCTGGAAAACTGGGATTTGTAACAGACTTGTAGTCTAATGCATTCAGAGGGCTCCAGGTTGGGGAAGGCTGTAGTGACTAATGCTGACATGATGATGACCATGTGATCTGTAATTCTGGTGTGCATTTACTGGCTGGGATTGCTTGTAATGGTGCCTGTGTCACTGCACTCTCTGCAAGCGCCACTCTGAACACTGGAATCACCCGCATCGCAAATGTGTCCTGCTGTGACAGAAACCCAGCGCCCGGCTTGCCCTTGGTCTCTGCTTGGCCGGGCCTTTTCCTTCACTTCAGTCACTTGCAACTCTGCGCCTGCGTTTCAGTAAAGTCGCAGTTCGCAGGAGCGTGAGGCAGCTGTTCTCTTCGGCCCCACAGGTTATCGACAGAAGTGGGGCGACTCTTGGGGAATACGAAGATGTGTCGAGGGTAGAGAAGTTCGAGATACCGGATGCCGAATATGAGAAAAGAACAGGTGAGAACCAGTGCTTGCTTCCAACATGAGTGAGTGCACAGACCTGGGGGTGGTGGGGGGGGAAGGGGTGTCCCCGAAACAGTGCCGTGTTGCCGAGCTGCAGCTGGGACCGCGCGTCGCTTCTCTTCCCTCCTGCAGATTCCGCACGTTCCTTTATGAAGCGCAGCAAGCTGGGCCAGTACAACAAGGAGGAAATGTTGAAGAGGGAAATGGAGCAAGAGCAGAAGTTGGCGGAGGAGAAGGCCCTGGCCGAGGCCATCGCTGTGGGCGTGCGGTGTGAGGTGCGGGCCTCGGGGCAGCCCAGCAAACGGGGCACTGTGATGTATGTAGGTGAGTGCACAGGGGAGCCCCCCGCACCTGTCATTGCTGGGGGAGAATTGCCTCGGCATTGGCTCTGGCCTTTGCACCAGAAAAGGCACAACTTGGCAGAATTCCGCGACTGTTGGGGCTTGGGCAAGGGTTGGAGCCCCCCTGTTGCATCCTGAGAACCTCTGTACCGCTTCAGGACGCAGTGCCAACGCGCTGCCCGAAGTGGCCGAGGGGGGCCCTCGCCTTGTGACCAGCAGGCGCGCTCCTTGAGATGCCTTCACCTCCTTCCGTCTTCCTAGGCCTAACAGAATTCAAGCCTGGCTACTGGATTGGCATCAAGTATGACGAGCCTCTGGGGAAGCACGATGGCAGGTAAGCCCACCCCCCCCAGTCTGGCACCTCCTGGTGCACACGGCGGTCTGGCCTGTGGCAGCCTCCTGGCTGCAGCCTGCGGGGCATCGGCGTGTGCTCAGCTTCACTTGGGGCACGTGACCTGCAAGGATTAGATGCATGTCGAAAAGCAGCCCCACAGCTTATGACTAGAAATATTGCGGGGTTATGTAACTGACAAACCAGCATGGCTGGCAGCCTTCACAGATGTGCTCCGTGCCGCCTCGGAAGGATCGAAACGTGGCTGATGCCACTTGCTCCTCGCCTTCCCCCGTGGCATCTTGGTGAAGCTTAATGCAACATTTGCACACTGTTAATGGTGGGTTAGGTCCGTGGCTCCTTTGTGGAGAGGGCAGAGCCATCAGCCTGAATGTGCGCCCAGATTTCTGGACGTGTGCAGGGATTCCTTGAGAGGGACAAACGGGTATTTGCGAAATTTGGCTTCCTCAGAACACCCACTGCTGTTTAAGTTTGCAAAACAAAAAAGTTTCTACTCTTCGTTTTGTGATGATACGCTTGAAGGCTTATGTTGAGTGCTGAGGTTTCGGAAGCCAAATGGCAACTGAATAATATTTCCAGTCTCTTGGGGGGTTGTGAGGGAACATCTCCTCCTGTCAGTTCTTCATTCTTTCCTAGTGGCAAGAAAATCACGTGATTTTTAATGCAAAATGAAAACCTGGCAGAATATCCCACAGAAGGCAAGAGTGTGCACAAAACAAGACTTCCATAATTGCTAACGGACGCAGAAATCTCGTCCGTCTGCAGAATTCTTGTTGTTTTTTAAAAATTTTGCAGAGCAAACCAATCCAATCCACACCATTTTGTGTGTGCCTGATTGAGTCATATGTAGTAGAGGATTCGTAAAACTCCCCTGCATGTGTTTGGGGCAGGAGGCTGCCCCCCGGCCAGTCGGTCTCTCCAGAACGTTGCCTGGAAACCTGAAGCTCTGGTCTGACTGCTCGTCCTGCACCCCTTTCCTTGGCAGCGTAAACGGAAAGCGGTACTTCGAGTGTCAGTCCAAGTATGGCGCCTTCGTGAAGCCGCAGCACGTCACGGTGGGGGATTTCCCCGAGGAGGACTATGGACTGGACGATGAGATGTGACGGGGAGAGGCGACGGGGTGGCCAAAGGCGGCGGAGAGGATCGCAACGGCCCCTGTTGGCGCGACTGCCCCCGTTGCCGCCGTTTCTCTGGCGTGTCGCGGCGGCGCTTCTGGTTGCATGTCGGAGGGCGACCCAGAGGGAGAAGACATGAAAGCCGCTGTGTGTCCTTTGACTTGTGTTTGTGGTTTTTCTTTTCCTTGGTTGTCTGTTTAGTGAAGATGCCGCATCCCTTGAGTTTTGTCACATCCACACCCTTCTGTACCTTTCTGGTAACACAGAGAATATTGGCGCTCCTTTGCATTGTAGTAGCGATTTTTGAGGGGTGGGGTGGAGGCCAGCAGGGTATCTCCCCCCCCGCCCCACAGTACCCCCTGGTCCGTTCCAGGAACGGAGCACGTCGAAAAGAAGACCTCAGCGCCACTTCGTAGGCGATCCGGCTGTTTGAAAACAACAGTCTGTGTGGAACTGTGTCTGTGACCGTGCGTCTTCCCACTGTGGACATTTGTCTGTGTGCGTGTGCTGCTAGCTGGTGGTATGTGTTAGCTCCAGGTTACATTCTGGGATGGGGGAAATACATTCCAGACTAGAGTATTAGTGTGTGAGCTTACTGTACTTAAACGCTCCGGAGAATTCACTGAGTGTCGTCTCAAGAGCTGCCTTTCCAGCCGTTTGCCTTGCCTGGTCCTGCCTTTCGTGGCAGTCGCTCTCCAGGCCTTTGGCGACGTCCTGAACTCGCTTTTCGGGTCACTTCGATGGAGGATGGGAGGGTCACGCCAAAAGACCTGTGCGGTCCCACGCGCCGTTCCTCCAGCAGCCAGCCGGTGCCCCGGGGGGGGCGGGGGGGCCACGGCACCCTCCTGCTCATGTTCCCAGTAATTGGCATGGAAAGGCAGCAGAGCATAATAGTCACAGAACTGTACCCTGACTCTCTGTACAGAACAGTTGTTCTAGGCCTGAGCTGCATTTTTGCCCGTTAATGCGTTTATTTGGTGTAGGGTGGGGACCAGTTTGGGATAGGCAGCTTGGTGCTGTCCAGCTTTTCGGGACTCCAGTGCCTTTGGCCATGCTGGCCGAGGCGGATGGGAGTTGCATCCTGTTACGTGCTGCTCCCCCGGGCCTTGCTTCTTGCGACTGTTCCCTTGCTGTTCTTGCTTTCTGCTGTCTCAGCCATTTGGAAATCATCTGCTAAATTAATATTCGGTTGCTGTGGCTTCATTTCTCTCCCATAAGTTATAACACTGATCAAGATTCTGCATCAGCTTCAAGTTTCTAGTCCAGGTTATCTGCCTCATGCCACAAGCCGTGTCTGGCCTCACCTCGTGCCCCTGCTTGTGGCTTCCATTGTGCACCGGCGCGTCTGCAGCTGCTCCTTTCGGCCCCCTCCTGCTCCCCTGTTGGCACCTGCTGCGGCCAGAAACAGCCCCCCCCCCCCCCGGCCATCCAGCTCTTTTAACCCCTTCCATTCGTTAACCTTTCTTCCCCAGCCCTGCCCAGATGTTGAGCCGCTGGGTCCAGAATTGTGTTCTGTACGAGGCCAAGGTGGTATCAAGCTCCTGACCGGGCCCAAATAAATGTGAAGCACAAGTCATGCTGGTGCGGCCTCGTCCTTCGCAGCATGGCCCCAAGCCGGTCTCTGCAGCCCCGGGCCTGGTCTCCTAACAGCATGCGTAACTCCCCCGCAGTCCGTTTCTCAGTGGAGACGGAGCGCTTCGTGCCCGGACCCCATCCTTCAGGGCTGCCCATCATAAAACGGACTTGCATCCTGTCCGTGTCCCAGAGATGAGGCCGACCGCACCCCTGCTTTCAAAGAGCGCTGGCAGCGATCCATTTCCCCCGGGACATCTGCATCTGGGAAGCGAGCCAGTCCCGGCTCAGCCATCAAGCTGCGTATGGCAGCGCAGGCAACCGAGTTCGCTCCGGAAGCCAGCATGGGGCATGGGGCCGTTCTCGGGAGGAGAGCCTGCGCCGCCAGCATCCCTTCCAGTGGCGATGAAGGAGCGGCTTGGGAAGAGGTTGCGTGTCAAGGACCTTCGTGCCGGGGACCCTGCAGGGCCCAAGCAGCCCCACGCCTTGGCTGGAGGACCCTCCTCTCTGGTGTGGTGTTGTGCTCAGTGGGAGCCAGTGTGGCGTAGTGGTGAAGAGCATGGGACTGGGACTCAGGCGATCCGGGTTCGAGTCCCCACTCAGCCATGGAGCCAACTGGGTGACTTTGGGCCAGTCACAGGCTCTCAGCCCAACCTACCTCACAGGGTTGTTGTGGTGGGGATAGGATGGAGGAGGAGGAGGATGTAAGCTGCCTTGAGCCCTTTGTAGGAAAACGGTAGGATATAAATCGAAAAATAAATAAATCAGTGGTGAGCCAGACGCCCCCACGGGAAGCCCAGGAGCAGCACAGCTGCCCCCCCCCCCGCGTCCCCCAGCAGCCGGTATGCAGGCGCGCCCTGGCCGTGGCGCTGCAGGGGCCCTTCGGGAAGCGCGCCGAGCCAGCGGGCCCGGCCTCAAGCGCTGCCCTGCGGCGCCGCACGCCGAGGCGTCGGGGGCTTTCCGGGGCGGTGGCGAATGCGCAGGGCCGCGTCGCCCGAAGCGGGCAGGGCCGGCCCGCGGCTCCTGCCATCCTGGCGGCCACCGGCGGGGCGGGCGGGGCGGGGGGCCCTTTCCGCCAGGCCCCGCGCCGCGTCCCTCCGGAGGCTGCCAAAGGCCCCGCCCCGCCCTGCCCGGAGGCCGGCTCGCCGCGGCCCGGCCGATCGCGCCCCCGGAGCCTCTTCCTGCGAGCGCAGCAGCACGTGACGCGCGGGCCCCGCCCTCGCGGCCCCGCCCCCGGCCGCCCACCGGGCGAGGAAACGCCCCGCCCCCGGCTGCCGGCCAGCCAATCCGGCGCGAGCAGAGCGCGGCGGCCGAGTCCCGGCGAGCGAGAGGCTGATCGGTGAGGGCGGCGCGTGCGCGTGCGCTGGACCCGGGGCCGCTGGCGGGGCTGGCGGGGCCCCCTCCGGGACGGGGCCCCGGGCGCGGCGAGGGGGCCGGCGGCTCTTAGGGCCCCGAGGACGCCGTCGCGGCCGATCGCTGCGGTTCTGGCCTCGGGAGCTTCAGCGGCCCGCACGGGCTCCGCTCCCAGTTAAACAGGCAGCCGGTGTTTGCGCGCGCAGTTTTAATTAGTACTTGCGCTCAGTAATTGGGTCCTGATAGCCGCCCTGCCCGTCTTACATTGCTAGCTCAAAAGCTTGGCTGAGGGCGCCATTCAGTTGGGTTCCTTGGGGCTGCGGCCCTGACGGTCGTTACAATCCGCCTCGCCCCCAGCCCCCGTGCCGACCGCCTGCCTGCCTCGCCGGTCCGCCCAGGACCCATGGGCCGCCACAGCGAGCTGCAGAGGCGAGTGCTCAGCCTGTACCGCAACTTCGTGCGGGCCAGCAGAGGCAAGCCGGGTTTCCTGCCTCGGATACGGTCCGAGTTCCGGAAGAACGCCCAGATTCCCCGGACGGACGTCCTGCTCATCGAGTATCTCCTCCGGCGCGGCCAAAGGCAGCTGGAGCAGCTCCGGGGCGCCCACACCAAGCGCATGGGCGCCTTCGTCAAAACCGCGGAAGACACGCCGTGACCTCGCCCACTCCAGAGACGCGTCGCCGGTGCTCTCCAGCTTGGATTTAGAGGGCTGCTCCGAAGGGGGACGTCCGCCTGGTGAGCCGGTGTGAAGGTCTCGCACGTGCCCCCTTGGGGCCGCCTGAAGGCTCCCTCAAAACGCACCGACGGTGGGAATCGGGAGCTCCGTTCTGGTTGTGGGGATGCATCTCCTGCCTTCCTTTTCGGACACGAACTAGCAGCAGTTCTTCTCTGCGCTGCTTGGCGAGATTCTGCTTGCCCTGAAGCGCTTTAAGGACCCCGCTGGCGCGGGGAAGGTTGTGCGGGTCAGCCTGGCTCGTGGGTATGGAGGATTAAAGCAGCTTCGGATGTGCGATCCGTTCGAGCCACGGCTGTGCCTTGTCTCTTTGTCTGCCTTTGTACGGTGTTGGCGCTCCGTCAGCTGCGAGGGCCACCAAATCCACTGCCAAAAAGTTGGGCTGTGCTTGATACCGTTTCGGACGGCCTTCCCCAACCTGGTAACCTGCAGATGTCTTGGAGTGTAACTCCCACCATGCTGGGAATGGTAGTCCTTCACATCTGGAGGACGTGAGGGGGTGGGGAGAAGCAGGGAAGTCGGGTTGCAGTACGCAGTGGATTGTCCGCAGCCTTCCAGGTCAGGCCCTTCCTTCCCGGTTGGCTGCAAGGAGTCAGGCGGGAAGGCGGCTCCGATGTCCCCCTGGCCTGTGGGAGGCCCTGCAGACACCAGAAGGGCTCTGCAGCGGCCACCCCCTTGGGTTTCCCCTTGGGCCTTGGATAAGAGCTCCCTTTTCGAGAATGAAGCGAACATCTGTGCCTGTAAAACCAACGGCCTGTGCTTTAACAGAGAGTTGGAGTCAGGTTTTGGCTGCTTAATACTAATCATTTCAACATATCCCTGGGTAGAATAACATCCTTGGAAGAGGAGGGCCCTCTTAGCCTCTCTGTTTATTTGTGAATGCACATACTTCTTGGACGCTTGAACAACTCGGGGCGGAGGGATTTAATTCTGTTTTTTGTGGGCCACATCCTGAAAAACCCCGTTAGCGCACATCTTCCCCGAGTCCTGCCCTTGTGGTACGCAGCAGTTGGCCACCTGCTCTCCCCCACATGATTCGGACGGTAACTCCTATCAGCCTCAGTCAGCATGGCCCATGATTCTGAGCTGCACAGGACATCTGGAGAGGTTCCGTTTTTCTGGAGGGAATGAAGGAAAGTGGGAAAGTGAGAGAATGCTGTTCTCTGAACGTTTTTCTTTTGAAGCACCATGAAAGCTGTATGGTGGGTACCGGCAGCCGAGGCAAATTCGCCTGGCCGTCACGTGTGTTTGTGTTTCCGTCTAGCGGCGCTCGTGGCCAGCGAAGCGAAGTCTCGTGCTGCCTTCAGGATTTGCCTCTTCCTGGGAGTAACCTTTACTGCTTATTTCAGAGCAAACACACACGGGTTGCTGTATAAGGCCGGGATCTTAGGTTACCTTAAAGAAGTCCCCACTGGAAAGTCTCCTGCTCCCCCTCCTTCCCCAGAAGTCTCTTTGGGGGCGTGGGGGGAGCGCCTGAGTGGGGGATGCAGGTTTGGACTCCAAGATCTATCTCCGCTCCTATCTCAACGGTCGATTCCAGAAGGTAGTGCTGGGGGACCATGTCTCTATGTCATGGCAGCTATGCCATGGGGTACCACAGGGCTCCATTCTATCCCCTCTGCTATTTAACATCTATATGAAACCGCTGGGAGAGGTCATCAGGAGGTGTGGGCTGCGGAATCATCAATACGCCGATGATACCCAGCTTTACCTCTCGTTTTCCACTAATCCAGGTGAGGCAGTGGCTGTGCTGAACCGGTGCTTGGCCGAGGCAAGGGAATGGATGAGGGCAAATAAACTGAAACTCAACCCAGACAAGACGGAGGTCCTGTTGGTTGGCGGATCGGGTTTCAGAGAGGGTGGATTTGACCTGGTCCTGAATGGTGCAACACTCCCTCTTAGGAATAAGGTCCGCAGCCTAGGAGTACTCCTCGACCCGGAGCTTTCTTTGGAAGCTCAGGTGACAGCGGTGGCGAGGAACGCCTTCCTTCAGCTTCAGCTGATTAATCAGCTGCGCCCCTACCTGGAGTACGACTGCCTGGCGACGGTGACACACGCGCTGGTGACTTCCCGCCTAGACTTCTGTAACGCGCTTTACGTGGGGCTTCCCCTGAAGACAGTCCGAACACTTCAATTGGTGCAAAATAGAGCTGCCAGGTTGCTGACGGGGACGGGGCGTTATGCTCACATGACTCCAGTCCTCCGTCAGCTTCACTGGCTTCCCATTGAAGCCCGGGCCCAATTCAAGGTGTTGATTATGACCTATAAAGCCCTAAACGGCTTGGGTCCTGGCTACCTGAACGAGCGCTTACGTCCGTATATGCCCGACCGCCCTTTGAGATCTGCGGGAGAGTCCCTTCTCCGGGAACCCTCCATGAAAGAAATTAGGAGGGTAGGTACTCGGAGGAGGGCTTTCTCTGCGGTGGCACCCAACCTATGGAATTCACTCCCCAAAGAGGTCCGCCTGGCACCGTCGTTACTGGTTTTTCGGCGCCAGGTAAAGACCTTTTTATTTAAACATCATTTGAATTGTTAAAACATATGATCTGGCCAGGGCAACTTCTTCTTCCTTCTCTTTCTCCTCCTATATTTTTATTTACTTAAGTTATACTGATAATTTTAATCTTATATTTGTAAACCAATGTATTTTTTGTATTTTGTATTTAATGGTAATTTATTATGTGCTATTGTATTTCATTGTATTTTATCGTGTTGTAAGCCGCCCCGAGGTTTCGGCAAGGGGCGGCATAGAAATGTTATAATAATAATAATAATATATTCAGAGGGGTTTGCAGCAGGAAAGGTTTGGGGACGGCTCAGCCTGTCTTGGTTTTAGACGGGCTGCCAGCGCACGTACCTGGGACGGCCCTCCTCTCGAACTGCTCCCTGGGTGTAGCAGCCCTGAGGGAGGAGGTGGGTCCAGGGGGCTTGGGGTTCCCCTCCCAGGGACCACCTGCGAAGAGCCAGGGGGCTCATCCTGCGAAGCAGGTGGGTGGGAACCTCGGGGCCTCACGCAGGGCAGCGCTGCACTGTGGAACTCACTGCCACAAGCCGCCAGCTTGGACAGCTTTGAAAGGGAACTGCACAAATGCCGGGAGAAGCAAGCTCTCTGGGGCTACTGGTCCTCATGGCTCTGGCCTCCCGCCAGCCTCAGGCCTGTGTGTGCGGGTGCTAAGGAGGGACTGCACAGACCCTTGCGTGATCCAGCAGGCCCTGATTTGTATGGGACTGACGGCTGAAGGAAGGACGCCTTCTCGGGTGCCGCTTTGCACAGCCCTGGGAGAATCCTGCACGGAGGAAGGGTCAGGATGGATCCTGCCTTGGGCTCCTCAGGGGAAGGGAGGCTGCCATGCGTGGCACCCACGAGGAGCGGATCGAGCCCCTGCGAAGTCGCCGCCCAGACCTGTTGGCTCGGCCTCACCTTAAATGCACAATGGCAACCGTGCGCCTTATCTGCGAAGGAGGACGGCGTTCCTGCTTGCACGGGAGGGAGGCGGCTGCCCCAGCCGGAATCGGGCGCCGCGACACCCGAGAACCACTGAATGTAAGTTGTGCGGCTCGCCTTGCAAGCGCCGGGTGCTCTTGGGTGGGAGGGGAAGGTGCTGCGCGCTACCCAGGTGCCCCGAAGCCTCTCTCTGCAACGACCGCTGCTCCGTGGGGCTGCAGGCCCAGCTCAGGTCGTGCTGCACAGCTGGCATGCGGTTTGCTGTGGCGCAAACCTGGCGAGGCCCCCAGGGCCGTTTCGGGAAGCCTGGCTGCCAGATGGGGCTTTGTGCTCGGCCTGTCTGAGGCTTGCTTGGAAGAAGCCCAGGGGGCTCGCGCCCCATGGGACTGCCCCCCCCCCGTGAGGTGGGGACCAAAGAGCGTGGAACGAGGGGCTCGCCGTCTCCCCCCTCTTTCTGTTTCCGCATGCAAGGTGCAGGTTGTCTTTAAGCTCCCTTAAAAATCGGGACGGTGGACGGCTGCCCGTGCCAAGCAGCAGGCGTCCGTCGTTCAGCCTGCCTCCTGGCCTGGGCCTTCTGGTGTTTGCCCTTCAAAAGTTCATCCCGGTCCCTGCCCAGAAAGCTAATTTGCGTGCTAACGAGTGGCGCTTGTATGTCACCTTTCTGCCAATACCCTCGGGACGTGTTTGCCCGGTGAAAAGAGTCACACATGAACAAATAGAAACGGCGCAGAAGGAAAAGAGGACATGAAGCGAGATGGGATAAAAGGGAGTCCAGGGGCTGATTCGCAGGTAATGTTCGGTGCCGATTGCAGCGACCGGACGGAGCTTCTGCCCGCCACCACCGGCAGCGCGGCCTCGTGTCTCCAGGCCTCCTCTCTCTCTCTAACTGGTTTCTGTATTGAGATCAAAAGGGGGAAGCAGGGGGATGCAAGAGGTATCAGAAGCAGACGGGGGCGGCAGTGCCCCCTGTGAAATCCCGGGAACGAGGCAGGCCTCAGTGGGAAGCAGCTCCTGCAGGAGGGCCGTGGGCACACCCAAGCTGCAGTGTTTATTCTGTTTCGGTACCACCCGGTGGCCGAAACTCTCTGGCTGCCTCCTGCTGCCGGGCTGTCCTGCAATTGTCCGATGGCGAGCGTTCAGACGTTTCCTCATTCCCCTTCATACAGCTTTATTCCTGGGCTGTGTGGTAGCTTGAAAGCGCTCCTCCGTAGCGACCTGTGTTTGTGGATCTTCAAATTTCTGGCTCACGACAACCATGCTTCCTTCGACCAGAGGTAATCGGGACTACTTTGCTTCCGCGTGTATCAGCTGCACTGCAACCCCCATCATCCTCAGTCAGCATTGTGGACATCCTGGATGAGGCAGATGGGAGTCAGACACGTCTGGGGGCCCCAGACTGGGGAATGCTGGCATGCACCATAAAGGTTCGGTGATTATTATCACAGGGCTGCAGCCCGATTGAGTAACCCTCGATTATATAAATAAAGCCCACATGTCTTGGATTTCCATATCGTTATGGAATCAGTGCATCACTGATCCCTTCAGCCCATCCTTTGGAATGTGGGTGGGACTGAGCTTTTCCACATGAAGCATTTTTGGTATTGTGATTCCTTTCTCATGGTTTATGGGTTCCTTAAACAACTTCATGACCTTGCATGAACACATGTCTTTTTTTAAAGATCACTGTCCTGGTGTGTTTTTTTTTTTGCATTTTGTTTCATTTTGTTTTTTTAACAGCAGGGAAAATGGAGCATTATTTCTGAAAGCCAAAAAAAGGCATTTCCTAATTGTGTATTTGTCCTATAGCACAGTGCCACCTAGAGGTTATGTAAAGGAAAAGCAGGGAAGTTCCTGCTGCATCGCCTCAGCCGGGGTCTCAGTGCAGAGACAAAACTGAAACCAGATTCTGCAGCCTCACGTAGAAAAGCTCGGAGCCCTGAACGAGCGGAGCAGGACGAAATAGCTACTCAAGAACAGGACGCCCCCTTTAATGCCAACCCCGTCTCCCTCCCTCCCTCCCTCCCTAAAGAAAAGGTGGCCTCATTCAGGCGCCTCCTGAAACGGGCTTGTTCCCCCAGGCTTGCTCGGCTCGTCTTTAAATTCACCATGGAACTGCTCTGTGTTCTTATGATTGCTATTATTGTTTTTACGATTATTGGGATTTTTCTTAAAATTTAGTCAGCTAGAACAAAGGCAACTACTCTATGCTGTTCTGTGAGTGTCTACTAAAGAACAGTTTATAAAAACTATAGATAGGTCGACAGATGGGATATACTGATTTTGGTAGTCCTCCCGGCTACCCACGCTTCCGAAGGGTCTGATGCGGGATTGTCTTTTGCCGCTGCCGACGCTGCTCTGCTGCAGAATTCCAGCACAAGGACGATGCCTACTGCTTTTCCTTGGCGAAGGCCCTGTTCTGCGTCTCTACCCCCGTGACCGTCGGGTTTTATGCGCCGTGGGGACACTGCAAAGACTTCCTCTTGACTAGGATCCAAGGTGAGTGCAACTGCGGGCTGTCGGTCGCTTGCTAGCCCATGTGGCTTTTTAGCGCATGCCTCTGAGGGGGACAGAGCTGAGGGAGCATCAGGACTGCCCGGCAGGGCCCAAGGCTCAGCACCGACCTCGACCTGGATCCCTCCAGTCCAGGCCCTCAGTCACACCCCAGAATCCAGGAGACCTTGTCAAGGCCCACGTTCTAGCCTAACCTGGTGCAGCCTGGTCTAATATTCCTTTAAATACCTACCAAATGAAAGCATGTTTTGTCCTTCCAAAGCCCACCTTTTCCGGCAGAGAGGGAATCCCCCTCCTTCTCTCCATTTTCTCATCACAAAGATCCTGGGAGGTAGGATGTTCTGAGAGGCGGGGCCGGTCCCAAGTCATCCTTCATGGCCAGGTGGGCTTTTGAAGTTGGGTATCCCTCCTGCACCCCCCTTGAGCGAGAGCCAACCACCTACCACACACGGAAGCCCAGATGGGTCCTGCTAACATCTCCAGCTCCACACTCTTCCTGTCCCGCTCAGATTATATGCACCTGCAGTCGTGGAAAAAGGACAGCCAGGAACTCCAGCGGACGGGCTTGAAGCAGCGAGGGACCTCTGGCTGGGACTTGGTCTCCGCCGTCCTCCTCATGATCTTCTACCGGCCGGTCCTGACCCTGCAGCACCGGCAAAGGAGGAACGTCCGGCACATCTTCATCCGCTTCAGCGCCTGGGAATACGCCGGAAGCGACCAGCTCTGGGCAGGCCTCATCACCGCCCTGTGTGACGGCATCGAGGGTCATTTCGGCCTGGTCCCCGTGAGCGTCTACCGGGCCGTGGGCAGGAAATGTGGCCTCGTGGAGGCGCCTCTCCGCAAGGAGTGGGTCAGCAAGAGGTACCTCTGCCTGCCGTTGTGGGCGGCTGTCCTCCTGGTTGGCGGGGCAGGCGTCGGAGTCGCCATCCTCGTCCTTCTTTTCGGCGTGCCCATCGGCAATGCTTCTGGGGATGCCATCGCGGTTGCCGAGGGCCTCGGGGCCACGGCCGTCGGGATCACGGCCGCGGCAGCCCTCAGGATGGGCGCCATGGTGGTCCGGAACGTCGTCATCACCCAGAAGGCCCAGCTGGAGCGGCAGATGAACCGGACTGACCTCAGCGCCCAGCTGGGCTTCATGAGCAACGTAAAGAGGGAGGTCCAGACCATCACCAGCTTCCTCCAGTTCATGGAGATCTTCCAGCGGAGGAAGCTCCGGGTGGTGCTGGAGGTCACCAGCCTGGACCACTGCAGCCCCGACCGGGTGGTGGGTGTGCTGGATGCCATGAACATCCTCCTGTCCGACAACGAGGCGCCCTTCATCTCCATCCTCGTGGCTGACCCGAGCATCATCGTGGGCTGCGTGGAGAGCTCCCTCTACATGAAGGGCATGGCGAACAACGGCTATGAGTTCTTGAACCGCATCGTCACGCTCCCCTTCTCAGTCCCCAAGACGGACAGCGACACCAAGCTGCAGCTCATGAGGAGCATTGTGACCTACCGGGAAGAGCAGGAGAAAAGTCTGGAAGAGGAGGAGGGCTTGGGAGTGGACGTCCAGCCAGAAAACCAGGCGGGGCTTTTCCTCCGACTGAAGCTGTGTCTTTGCCCGAATGCTCGTGCTCGGAGCAGAGCTGCGGAGGACGGCTTGGTACCTTTAGTGGTGGTGAGTCCTGGCAAGGCAGAGCCACCGAAAAGATGTGGGAAGGGCTTCAAGGCCAAAGACCTCATCCAGGAGGCCTTTGAGTTCCTCCTGGATGAGAACACGAAGCTGTACTTGACAGACAACGTGGTGCAAATGAAGCGCGTCATCAACACCATCTCCGTCATGATCAGGCTCATGGCGACGCAGGTCCCGCGGGAGAAGCTCTGTCCGCAGAAGGTGGCCTCCTGGGTGCTGCTGGCCAGCCAGTGGCCCTGCCGGTTGAGCTGGATCCTGCAGTGCATCGAGGACGACGAGCAGATGGGCCGGCTGGGCGTGTGCCAAGGCGGCCAGCTCGGCCCTGACCTGCTCCTGTGGGACGTGTACGAGAAGAACCTGGAAGAGTTTGTCATGTTCGCATCCCAGCTGGAGAAGCTGCTGGAGCTGGACGGAGACCCCGAGCTCTTCCACAGCTTCCTTTCTGGGAGGTTCCAGGTGAAGGACGCCCGCTTTTTCGTGCTGTACACGGTCAACATGGACTCCTCCTTGAAGAGGCACATGGAGCTGCTCCGAGGCAGCCACGGCCTGAAGAGCAGCAAGAGGGCTCCTGGACTTTCCAGGTGCCTTCTGCTTGGGATGTCGGTGGAGGAGGTCTGCGAAGAGGTAGGTCTGCGACGGGCCATCCGCTGGGGGCAGCTCCCTTCATGGGGGGCCATTGTGCTGGCGAAAGGGGCAGCAACAGCTGTTGCTTTCAGGGTGACTTCAGAACAAGCCACATGCCGTGTTTGCTTATTATTGGATGCGTGCCCCACCTTGTTCTCTCCCAAGGAACCCAGGACAGGCTCACACGGTTCTTCTCCATGAGGCCCAGGCACAGGTGCTCCTGGGAAGGCGGGTGGGAGGGCACTGTGGTCCTGAAACGCCACTTGTGGGTTTCCTGGGAGGAGACTCCGAGGGGATCTGTTGGTGACATACAGGCATGTGAGGGGGTGTCACACGGAGGTGGGGAGAGGCCTGTTCTCCCCTGCAGAGGAGGGCAGGACGCGCTCCAACGGAGCCAGGCTCAGGGAACCCAGGTTCCATTTGGATGCCAGGAAGCACTTCCTGACAGTCAGGACCCCGAGGGTGTGCAATGTTCTTCCACGGGGGGTGGCTGAGGCCCCATCGGTGCGGGTGCTCAAGGACAGACTGAACATGCACAGGGTGGGCATGTCGTGAGCAGAGCCGGCTGGTGCCGGAGGTCAGACTAGATGGCCCGGGAGCCCCTTCTGACTCGCTCTGTTTCTGTGTTTCCTGTGGCCACTGGGGGAACAAAACACTGGGCTGGATGGACTGGGCCCGATCCGGCCTCAGGGCTCTGGGCCAGGGAGACTCTGCAGCCCTGGCTTAGTGACCAGCATGGGGCTGAGCTCACACAAGCACAGAGTTCACCTCGAGTTGGATGCCGGCCGTGCCTCATCGTCCCGGGAGCAAGGGAAGCATCGTGCTACGATCTCTGGAAAGTTTCCATGCTCGCCAAATCTCTTTTCCAGCTGGGCAAGCTGGGTTTGAAAGCGGAGAACGCCCAGTGGTACCGGGAGAGGCTGAAGGAGCACGGGCTGGACGGGCGTGCGCTGGCGTGCAGCGACCGGGGCGAGCTCAAGGAGGCGCTCGGCATGGGCCTCGGAGAGTGGACGGCCTTCAGCACGCACTTCCTCGGCTCCGCGCCGCCCCGGGCCCCCTTCCCTGCCGCAGCACCGCCAGCACCGCCCTTTGCCGGGAAGCCTGGGCAGGGCCCAGGAGAGAAGAGGCTGCCTGGAAGCAGGTTGTCCCCGGCCCTTTCCGAAGAGTGCCGCCTCTGATGCCCGCAAGCGCCGGAGGGAGTTGTCGGGTGGCTGACTAAGCGGGAGAGGGACCTGCGAGTGAGCTGCTGCCTGCTGGCGGGTTGGTCCCGTACGGTCGGGGCCGCCCTGGGGCCTCTGCCTTCAGGAAGAGCAACTGCTCCTGCTGGAAAGCCCCCGATCGATCGAGCGTTTGTGCATGTCGTTTGCATACCATTTGCATAACATGGGTCCAGTGTCGCCAGGCTCCGTTCAGTCCGAGGGCTGAGTGCCGTTTGGAGCTGCCTCCCAGTGATGGGCAGAGGCCAGGGCAGACGGAGCAGCTTCCTTTTCGAAAAGCCCGAAATGTCGACATGCTGGGGCACAGTGCCAGCACGACCTCTTCTGGGAGACCACAGGGTCCGCCAGAGTGCTTCGCTGCTCAGGCCGGGGGCTGATCCCCCACCCCCCCCCCTTGCAGCCGCACGGAACGAACCTCATCGAATGCCACCTGGGCCTCGGGGCGGGTAGACGGGGCTGCGCACGGGGAGGCGAGGGGCCGGGGGCCGCAGTGGCATGCCGGTTCTGGGGGCATCTCGGCCTCTCTCCCTCCCTCCCCCTGCTGGGCTTAAATCGAGGTGGCCAGAAATGGCACCGCTGGATTCATTTCAACTTTTTAGGATGCTCAGAGCCGGGGGAGGCTGAGGGGCTTGGGGAAAGGGGTGGGGCAGGGTGAGTGAGTGTGGCCCCCTGCAGGACCCCGGAGGGCCGGGTTGGCCCCTCCACCTGCCCTTCTGCACGCCCTTCTGCAAGCGCCTCGGCTGGTCCGTCAGCTCCCGCTCATCGAGTGGGCCGGTTGGTGCAGGGCTGGTTTCAACAGGTAGTGACGAAGATCCAGGGATTCTTCTGTGATTCTGAAGGTTCTGCTCCTTTGGAGTGTAAATTTTTGCTCATGTAAAGAATGAAGAATAAAATATCAGAGATGCTTTCTATCAAACCCGGGACTCTTTTTATCATTGGCTAGAGAAACAGGACCACGCATAGACTTAAATATGTTTATAGTTTAACATAAAAAGAAAAAATGTGGGGCTGACCCAGTAGGTCTGATGTTTTCGATGATTGATGCTTTTTAGGTTTTTTTGTTTGGTATATATTAAGGATAAAACTTATTAAAAAAATATCGGAGATGCATCCGCTTCTTCGGAGTGGTGTTCTCTTGCATTTAATGATCGTCATATTCTTCCATCTTCAACAGGCTCACGAAAGAGCTTTGGAGCAGGAATCAGGCGACCATCCATTTCTGGTCTGGGTCATTCTCTGAGTTGCTTCCGTCCCAGAGCTGATGGTGTTCCTTTCTCAAAATATGAACTTTTACCATTTATGTGTACAGATTTCCACTTAACGGATGAACTTTTCATTGCATATTTTGGGGTCAGGATAGAGCTGCAAAATTTGCCAAAATCTGCCATCCAAAAGGATGACTGGAACATGATTTGCGTATTGGTCCGAGAAATTTGCTTTATGTTAGCTCGCTTTAAAATGTAGACAAACACGTTTCTTCCCTGCACCCTTTGCATCTGGCCTGGGCCTGTCCCCTATCTGAAAGCTCTCCATTTCTCCTCAGGTAGGAACAGCACAAATCTGCAGAGTATTGGATAATTTTACCCTGTTGCAGGGCAGAGTTTGCTTAAAGTTCAACTTTATTTACCGTATTTTTCGCTCTGTAAGACGCGCCTGACCATAAGACGCACCTAGTTTTTAGAGGAGGAAAACAAGAAAAAAAATATTCTGGATCAAATGGGCACATAATCACAGGCACCTGCCCCATCACTTCCCCATGGGCTGCACATCTGACAGACTTACTGCACACACATATTCACTCTATAAGACGCACAGACATTTCCCCTTACTTTTAGGGGGGGGAGTGTGTCTTACAGAGCAAAAAGTACGGTAAATGACCATTTTTGTGCTTCCGGTTGCATGCTGAGTCCTCAGTGAGTGATTATAGCTTGGGACGATGGAGCCGAATGGACAGTCCAGGGGTGATTGGAACTATTCTGTTTTTCTCCCTTTAATGGACGTTTTTGTGGATTAAAAAAGAGATGTAAGAACCAGTGGGGAAACGTGAGAAGGTTACATGTTCAAGGTGGTGCCAGGATACATACATGTGCGCGCGCACACAGAGTCCACTAGCAAAATCCCATGGATGAGTTGGGGCCGTGCTTTGAGCCAGACCTCGCTGGAGGTTCCCCCGTGGTGCAGAATGTGGGCGTCCCCGTGGAACCAGGGCAGTGGCAGCTAAGCCTGGCGGATTTTGTACCTGCAACTTTTACTGCAGTTTATGTAAAGGTCTCATTTCTTCTGTGCCTGAAGATCTTTGGTACTCTTGGTCAATTTTATATTAGCCTATACCAGACCTCCTGACGCTGAAACGCATGCTTTATGCAACGCTGAAATTGCCGGACTCGGGCAAAGGTGTTCGGCATCGCATGACGTGGCGCTGGCTTGTGGGATTCGCAGGGGGTTGTTTTTCGGTTCCGTGCTGCTTCTTCTGCGGTGAAAGAGGGCATCTCTCTGGAGCCCCAAGACTATGGGACCCCAATACCTGAGCCTGGGCTTGTATTCTGGGGGTCCTGGGTTATTTTTCTTTAAACCCCGTCACTTTGGGTTAAGGGGGCAGCCTGCCATGACTTCTTCCGTCATTAGAGGGAGACGTCTCCAAAGAGCAGAAAGCTCAGCGCTGCTTAAAAGCCCGGCTGAGACGCTGCAGGGGTTCCTGTGCTGGCACCAGGGTGCGCGGCTTGCGGCCAGCCAGCCCACCTGAGCGCCTGGCTTGAGGCTGGCCACTGCTGCCCGATGCTGCCCCGGCTGCTGACGGGCACAGCGGGGGCACAGATCCAGAGCTGAGATGAGCCCCGGACCCCCCCCCCCCCCTTTGCCCAGCACAGCATGCGAGAAACGTGCGGAGAGGCTGTGGAGAGGCGACGCGCCACCGGTGCGCCAGGCCCTCCCTCTCCCATGGCCGCCCCGGAGCCGTGTGTGGAGCCGCCGTGTGTGGTTTTGGCCCTGAATGGAGGCCCCATCCAGGCAAGGCGGAGGCCCTGCGAGGTGGGGCTCGCCTGCCCCGGGGGGGCGGGATGCTCGGAGGTCTAGCTCCATCACGGCATGGGGACGGCATATAAAAACTTTAAATAAATAAATGAATCACTTGATGCCCGGGTGGCCCCACCGCAAAAGGGCCTCTCCCCCCCCGCCCCATGTCTTCACTTCCATAGTTTCACATTCAGCACCATCGAGAACCGGTGCATAAAAAACAGGCAGACAAGCGACGTCAGAAGACACAAATGAAACAACAGAAGCAAACAACAAACGATACAATGGCTTCTTTGTAAAGAAAACTGCAAAATAAACGAGTGGCACATACTTTCAGTGTGAAATGCAACACTCGCGTCAAGAAATGCACAAAAGATGCAGCTTTTTTTCTTGGCTGAATTGGCTTCCTTCGCTCTGCCCAGGAAAAGGCTCCAACCCTTCAAGAAAGATGAATAAAAACAACAAACCGAACTTCTCGGGGAGCCCGGCTCACTATTTATTTAACATTTGCAACTCCCTCTTTCTTTGGAAGAAAAAAGCAAAATCCCTTTGGACGGAGTAGGTTTTTAACCCACAACTTTGCCAAAGCTTCAGCTTCCAGGTTTTGTTTTGTTTTTTGTGAGATTAAGTTTGGCTCTTTTACAAGTTCCCCTGCAGAGCTTCTCTCACTCTGCCTTTCTGTATTTTCCAGCATTTGATTGTACTGCCTTATAGTGGAATTGTGGGAATGAATGAGGGTTGTCTGCCACCATGCACAGATAATACCAGACTTTTCGTTTAAAAGTTCCTCAAGATGCATTGCAGAATTTACAGCTTTGGCTATGCGTTGGTATAGAAATTAAAGAACTATGAAGTAACACTTCTCTAGTATTTCAAGTTTAAAACATGCTTCTTCTGATAAAACATGGGAACTTTTAGCACTCCAGGATATATTAGACTGTGGACTGAATTAGCAACCTGTCCCTCAAATGTATATGTGTATATTTTTGTGGGTGTTGAGTGAGATGCAATGAGATTCAAGGTGCAGCTTTATACATTTCCTTTTACTTTGCCTTTTGGAGGTGAAGGGAAAGGAAAACCTGCCTTGCAACACTCTCTCTAGGTTCACAGAAAAAAATCGGAAGTGAACCAATACTTTTATCAGAGCTTTTTCAACTGAGTTAACCCACAGTCAAAGCCCTTAAAACGGAAAAAATGCACCTCAAAAAAGGGAAGAACTGAGCTGTTTTAACAAACTGGCTTGCTTCTTAAACCATTGATTTTTTTATTTTCCATGCCTTAGAGAGAGATAATCCAAATAAGAAACTCCTATTTATGCCAGAATAGCGCAACAAAGGTAAGCACCTCTCCTCTTCTAGCCAGCTTTCTTGCGCTCCTAATGCAAAATTTCCAGCATTCCTCTCTCACCCTCACTGAGCTCCTCCTCCACCTTCTTTCCCATCTGGAGGACCTTCAGGCTTCTTGTCTTCCTGAACTAAAAAGCCCGTTTTCTCACGGGGAACGCCCTCTGCCTCTGGATCCTTCTGCTGGCCCTTTCCTGCCCCTTCTGCAGCGCTCCCCTGTTGAAATCGTGCCCCTGCAACCGTGCCCTGGGGGTGATGGGGTGGGCCTGGGAGCCACAAGGGCTGGGGTCTCGTCCCTTCTCCGCCACAGAGGCCACTGGCGGGCTTTGGGCCAGTCACTGGTTCCCAGTCCAACCTACCTCACAGGGTCATTGCGAGGATCAAATGGGGTAGGGAGGGGGAAGGCCATTCGGCTCCTTTAATGAGGAAAACTGGTGGGGTGGAAACATCTGAATTACTAAATAAACACCGGGGCAACTGGGTCTTGATGTTTTCCTTCATTGGGCTCATAAAATGTGCTTTCACATTTGTGCTTTCAGAACTCTGCATGTTCTCATGGCCCATGCGGCCTTAAGAGAGTGTCGGTTACCAGGTAGCATAGAACACACACACACACCCACACACAGCTCTGAGTGTATGACTTGAGTGTGTGATTCTATGATAATTGTTGGAAACTGCCCAGAGAGCTTTGGCTATGGGCAGTACCAAAATATCATCACAATCACAATATTACATTCCCTTTCCTTGGCAGATTTAAGCCTCCATCCAACCTGGGATGCGGAAAAATGTTCTTCTTCTTCTTTTGGCCAGGACAATGAGCAAGTCAAGCCGCTTAAAAGCTCCAACGGAGGAATGCAAGGAAGACAACAACGAGGAGATCTACTGCAAGGCGCTGGCTCAGACGCTGAAGGAGGTGGAGCTGCCCGCGACGGTGGGCCTGTATTCGCCGTGGGGGCACCAGAAGGCAAAGCTCTTAGACAAAATTGAAGGTGAGGCTCATGGCACTCGTGGGGCACGCCGGTTCCAGCCACGTGCCGGCAGAACCTGCGCGAGGGCTGGGGCGACCTTGGGCGCTGCTCTGGCCACATGCCCGCCTTCGCTTGCCAGGCGGTGGGATCGGAAGCACGAGGTTCCCCTTCTTTTCTGGGGGTGGGAGGGCAGGGCAGGGGCCTGTTTCCTCTTTGCGCACTGCCTGGCACGTGGGGGGCTGAAAGGACATCCCCGCATGATCCAGCATGCTTTGCTGCGCATTATCCGTTCGGTTGCAGGTCACATGAAAGACAGAGAGGAACCAGATGTCGGGATTTGCTCTTGGCTCCTGGATATTTGCTCCTGGCTGGCCTTCATCTGGCATATAATTTTCTGTTCCCTTGACGCCAACGTTCCCAGGTACCTGTCTTCCTTCTCTCCGTGGTTGCAGTTATTTATCTTCTTGCAATTAATTTGTACCTCCACCAATAATTTCACATCGTTTTGAATGTACAGTTTAACAAATGGACCTCTATGGATGGATGCCACCAATTTATTTTTTTAATAAGTTTTATTTGAAATTATAATCCTAAAAAACAAAAAGAAAACTACAAACAACATCCATCATCAAAAACATCGAGCCCGCTGGGTCAGCCCCCACACCCTTCTTTTTCCATTTATGATAACTTAAAAACGTATTTAAATCTATGCCAAGTCCCATTTCTCTAGCCCATAATAAAAAGAGTCCCAAGTTTGATAGAAGTTGGATGGATGCCAGCAGTTTCTGCGCAGACTGAGAGTGGGAGAAGAGCAAAAGGAAGAGAAAAGAAAAGAAACATTTTTGTCTCTTGTATCTGGCCCTGGGAAGGGTGTAAGAGAAGTTAGGAAAATTGATCAGGAGGATGTATAGCCTAAAGCAAGCCTTCTCCAACATGACTGCCTTTCGGATGCTTTTTACTACAACTCGCAGCATTCATCACCACTGACCAAGCTGGTGAGGATGATGGGACTTAAAGTCAAAGGCATCTTAACTGCTTGAGGGTTTTATTTCAGTAAGTAGCACCGTATGTGCTGGTTGTCGCTATGAGGTGTCAAGTCACCTCTGACCGGAGGCCACCCTTCTGAATACGGGTCCTCGAAGAAGGGATGCCGGACCCTTCAGAGACCGACTGCCCAAACTGCAACACAGAACCCACTTGTTTATCGCAAAGTGCCGACACTGCAGTAAAACCTGAAAACAGGCTTTAGAAAAAACAACTCAAAGTTCACCACCACTGCCCCAACCCCACCCTGGCGCACAGCCCTCACCCAAATATAGGGCTAGAGTTCCATTGAAAGGAGGGCGCTTTTGAAAAGGCCTTCCTTGAGTAGCTTTTTCTGCGCAGCTCATCATTTCTGCCCATCCTGAGCACACTCCAACCATCAAAATCGTGCCAGGACACCTCGTTTTCCTAACCCCAACCCTACCCTGGTGCACACCCCTAACGCTAATATAGGGCAAAAGTTCCATTAAAAAGGGGGCGATTTTGTAAGAGCCCTCCTTGAGTAGCTTTTTCTGCACAGCTCATCATTTCCGCCCATTCTAAACACATTCCAACCATCACAATCCTGCCAGGACACCCCGTTTTCCTAACCCTAACTCTACCCTGGTGCACACCCCTAACCCTACTATGGGGGTAAAGTTCCATTGAAAAGAGGGCAATTTTGAAAAGTCCTTCCTTGAGTAGCTTTTTCTGCGCAGCTCATCATTTCTGCCCATTCTAAACACATTCCAACCATCAGAATCATGCCAGGACACCCCGTTTTC